TATTCACTTTATATTTCTTTCACTGTACTTTATAAAAATATGCTAATTGGATGTCTCTCTCTATCTCTTCTGTGGAATGGTTAGGGATCATTTTGTTCATCAGTCGACTTCCTAACTTATGCAAGTGGAGTCCATCTAACGTTTATTTGATTTCCAATATCATGTTTGTGGTAATCTACAACCTACAATCTCGATCTCTCGATATCAAACCAATAATCTATCCTAATGTTAATTCTCTTTTTCCACTCTACCTGAAGTATTGGCCCGAACATCTACACCTCTCATTTAGCATACGGACAATTTTCTCCTACTGGATAGCATATTTAGTTTTTGTGATCATAAATTTTGATAACAACTATATTGCAAAAGAATAAGCTTACACATAAGATTACAATTTGATTTATACAGAAGTAGTTAATTACATTATTTGAAATGAGAGTCACCTTCGAATACCACTGATACTTTGGTTCCATTTGCCAAATAATGGTGTAGGTGGGAGATATGCAGACAGTGAGAATTAATTCCAAATCAAGCCCATATTTGAGAGTCAAAAGAACATTACCACTACTTCATACATCTTTACACATAAAATACAGTTATTTTATTTGTATGTGATTTATCACGTGAATTTAAAAGTTAGTCCAAATTTACATAAGAGAATTGTTCATAATAGTATCGCTCATAAGTGCGTGGGTGAATCCGAGTCCTTGAACCAGATAGGGCATCCGATACATCAATGGTTGATAGACATTACGTATAAGTGGGTAGAAGTGTGAGTGGGTTAAAAATAGGGATGGGCAAAATACTTACGAGTATGGGTAACTGTGGTTATCCGGCCATTTAAAATTCACGGTTACGGTTATAGGTAACCGTTTAAACAAAAAAAGGTTATGGGTATAACCGTTTACCTGTGAAATTTAAATAGGTGGTTATGGGTATTACCTGCAGTTATAAACGGGTACCCGTTTAACCGCTTATTGGTTCAAATGAACATTTTACCCTTGCCTTCACTTGCTTATATCTCCTTTGTTATAATTTCGATTTGCGAACAGTTTTTGCCTACACGTTGGTGGGATCGAGCTCTAATATACTTAGTGTGATCCCGAAATATTACATGATTTGATAAAACTTAGAGGATCAGGTAGAAAACGAAATCCGATCATAGATATGCTGTTGAGAGTTGCTTCCAATGGAGTCAAATGACTTGTTCAGAACTTTACTTGAATAAGGGCATTAAACATGGTTATTATAATCCAGACTACACGCCAGGCCAATAGCATTGGATTTCTTACTAATTCACTTTTCTTAAGTAACTTGCAGCATACCCTACAAACTCACGACATTCCCATCTTATTCCAATAAGTTGTGAGCTATAATGTGCAAATTGTAGGGCACATATAAAGTTCCCTTCTACTAACCTTCACAGGAAAGGGCAAATAAGTTTCGTAAGCTTAAGGGGAATGTTTCAGAAAAAAAAAAAAAAAAAAAAAAAAGTAACTTGCAGCAATTAATAAGATGCTTGAATTGCTTGGACCAAGTGTAAAGGTGGATGTAGTTGCAAATATCGTTCGCTCTATAATTTCAATTATTGCAGTGGTATGAGAACTTAAGAGATTGAAACACGGTAATGCATGTTAAATGTACTTATAAATGAGTAAAAAAAAACGTGTAGATGGGTAAAACAAGGGTAAATGGATAAAAATGGTAAACGTGTTAAAAACGGGTAAATAGGTAAATGGTTAAATAAGTATGTGGTTATGCGTATGGGTAACCGTTTATAAACGATTAAGGGTATGTGTATAACCGTTTATGCAATTATCGAACGAATAAACAATTATGCGATGGATAAATAACCGTTGTTATCTGCTTGCCATAACTGTTGTCTATCCCTAATTGAGAGCGACGAGAACATCCCTATGGTGCTGGATGTTGATTGATAATGCTGCTGAGATAACACAACAATTGATGATTCTGAATGTACAATTAAGTTCTACCCATTGATTATGCTACTGAGGTAAGACAACAATTGATGATTGTGAATGTACAATTAGGTTCTGCCCATTATATATAATCAACGGTTGTGATAGCGTCATGCATGCAAACAACCCCCAGCACAGCGGCATGGGCAAGCATTGTGGAAAAGTCATATTTAACCTAATAATTTTGGACCACCGTTGATTCATATGACGTATAAGACTTTGTAGTAACCAGTAAGGGCCGCACACCACACCCGACGTACATGTGTGCATGTACAACCAAGTCCTCTCCTCGCAATGCCGTCACTTTTCAAGTGGTGAAAACAAAAATTAAAACGTTCTGATAAAAATAAAATTCACATACATGTATATCGATTATAAGTAAGTTAGACTATTCTCAAAGACAATCTTCACATAAAGACAAAGCAAGAATATTTGTCAAAACACTTGGAATCAAAACGAAATGACGAAAGAATAAGTACACAGGAGGCTGAAAAATATCTTCGTCATCTCCAAATGACAAATTTACCCTTGACAGGGCAAGTTGGCCGCACTCTCTGACAAACAAGGTTCTTCCATAGTTCCATGGGATAAACAAATCATGCAGGGGAGCTGAACAATCAGTAAGCCCTGCGTATGACGTCATGACCAGGCCTTCAACGGCACAGCTCTACCCTTGAACCCGATCGTGGGCCCGTGAGCTCCACCCAGGATGCAATACTGGGCCCAGCTAGAGCAAGGGCTGGCCGCTAAATAGGTCCAGTGGAAAAATCATGCCATGCTTCGGCTATACACACCCCCCGGCCCCCCGTCCCCTTCCCCACCCACAAAAAAACAGGGTACATAATTTTAGGCAAAACGATAAGGGTTAGGGCATCCTAGATTAAATCCCAACAAAAAGGAATCTAAAACAAAAAATAAGGCCAACTCGACCAATTTAATTGCCAACATATCGTTGAATCTTTGGGTTTGGCGAGCACGAAAACACATCCAACACTAAAAGAACTTCAATTAAAGTATGATATGTATTAGGTTTCGTTTAAAGTTGTCTTTTTTCATGATCACAATGTGATTAGCCTATTATATGGTGCTACCCATTTTTTTTTTTTTTTTGGTAGACATAGCCACATGAAGTTGTTTTGAACAAATTGTTAGATGAACCAACTTTTGATCTAAAAAGCAAATTATTAGGGTTTATTGATTGACTTCTCATTCTATTTTCTCAAGTTTTTAATCAATACAGGAGAGGTGATTCAACTACAAAATATCTTATAATCAAGGATGGTAGAATCATCAAATTATTCACTAAATAACGTGTTAGTGTACATGTCAGTATCTTCTTTGTTAGTAATTAATAAGATTTAAAGTATAAAGTTTAAATCAATTGGACATTGGTACATTATCTAATGAACAAATTTGACGTACTTAGTACTATTGTAAATATACTATTGGACTTACCTTTTCGTCAAGCGAGAATATACATGTGAAAGAGTTATTGTGTGGTACTATAATACATTCACATGTATAACTCATCTTAAGATGAATGAATATTTATTGATACTATAACTTAAAATAGGAAAGTATTAATAACTTCATCTACCATATCATAATACATGGACTAAGGATTCGTTAGTAACTGTTTTTTAAATGGCTGAAAATGCTTTTCGTGAAAATATTTTGGGAATCAATATTTAGTAAAAATGCAAGTGAATTATGAAAAAGCACTTAAGAGCTTCTTACAAGAAGCACATAATTGATGCTTTTTGCAAGAAACACTTTAAGTGCTTTTGTTTCATAAACATTTTTTTTTAAAACGTTTTCAGTTATTTAAAAACACTTTCAAACAAATCCTAATTTTATGCAACTGCATTTAAGACTTTTAGTAGCACACAATAGTTTTTGTGATTGTCAGGAACAAGTTGAGCAAGTAAAAAGGAAATGCATCGTCGAAACTCTCACGTTCACATCCCATTTTTTGCAAGCAGATTGATGATGTGCAAGAATAAATTGTTAGGTTTTGTTGACCTTTATTTCTCATTTGGTTATCCATCACCTCAAATGAAACTACTATTGGTGGTTGCGAGGAACAAAAGTATGCAACTTTACTAATTTATGTATCTACTGATTTTAGCAATCTTATCCAAAATTAAGCTTGAAAAAAATGTAGCCATTGCAGGCGCATACCAAATGGACTTTTCCTTTTTCCTTATTTATACTTACTTTGAATGGGTATGTAGCAATAGCCATTGTTATTGTTATTGTAGAGTATAAAGCGCAACTTTGCTCACCCTTAAATTGTTGTTAAATCAGTCTGGTTTAATTAATTTAAGACATGAATCTTGAAATTTAAACTTATTTAACAGTAATTTATGAAGGGGTGCGCATCACCCTAACTTTAGGAGGTGAGAAAAAAGAGTATTGTCGGTCATGTGATGAATATTTTCCATTTCAAGTTATAGTATCAATATATATGTACTCATATCGTAACACGTGGACTAATTATACCGTGACTATATTTCTGTACTAGATGAACAAAATAAATAAGGAAAAAAGTTGATCAAGTGCAAGATAAGTTGTTAGGTTTTTCTTGACTTCATCCCTCATTGGTGGTCCTAACTCCTAACTTTTTACAATAAAAACAAATACGCAAGTTTCCTAATTCTTGTACCTACTGATTTTAGTAGTATTTCCCAAGATTAACCTTGACAAAATATAACAAATTGAGGTGCATTAGCATATGGAGAGGATCAAATCACACATTTAGGGTTTGCATGAGCTATTCTTGCGCTGAGGATCTGACCAAACAAATCAAAATTCCAAAAGCCTAAAATCCCTAAACAGCCCAGAAAGCAGAAGCACTTTTAGGCTTTTGCTTTTAACCAAACCATACTAACAAACGCGTCCTAACACTCCCTCGCACCATCTCACATCACTCCACTTGACACAGATACAATCAACGGCTGAGATCTCATCCGTATCCCGCTCTTTCCTCTTCTATATATTATCTCCCCATCTCTGTCTTCTTTCTCATCCTCACCTCTCACCTGCAAAATTATCGAATTCCTTCACAAACCCAGTTTCTCTTCCCCTCAAAGTTTTAATCTTTCGGTTCGAATACTCGAATTTTAAAGTCTTTTAGGAGTCTGAGGTTTGGGTTTTTCTCAGACGCAGATTTTAACAGAAAATATGCTTCTACGGAGCTCATCGACGCCGGTGCCCAACTCATGGCTGCAGTATTCCAAAGATTCAACATTTTTCGATCAGCAACCGGAAATGGTGCAGCAAATCCAGAGAACTCGCTCCGTTACCCTCTCGGCGTCGTCGCGGTCGCCCCTTTTGCTGTCGCCGATCAGCGACTCGGGTAGGAGGTTGACCCGGGCGGTCTCCGAGGACGATCTCAGAGATTTCATGGTGGCGCGGCCGAAAAGAAAGTCCTTCAGCATCCCGATGGATGGGTTTGAGGAGAGAGAGGAGCGAAACGAGATAAAAATGGAGATGGGTTTTTCTGCCTCTGGGTTGGGCAGAACGGCCTCCTTGGGATTGGCGGAGTTGGAGAGGTGTGAGGCCGGGTTGAGGGAGGACAGGAGGTTGCTGAGCGATTTGGAAGGGGGCGGCGTTGGTGGAGGAGGCGGCAAGATCTGCGGTGGTAATGGCGGAGGGAGAGGTGAATCGGACGACGGAGATGATGAGGGCAATGGATTTTGGGAATCGAATCAAGGCGGTGCGAGCACCGATTTGTACTACCAGAAAATTATTGACGCTAATCCTGGAAATCCCATGCTCCTTGGCAATTATGCTCGCTTTTTGAAAGAGGTATCCAAATTCATACCAAAATCTTTAAATTTAAAGACAAAAGATTGAATCTTTATTGAAGCTAATGATATTTTGTGATGGGAAAATTTTTACAGGTTCAAGAGGATTTCGGAAAAGCCGAAGAGTACTGCGGGAGAGCAATTCTGGAGTGCCCGAATGACGGAACTGTTCTGTCAATGTTTGCGGATTTGGTATGGCAGATTCACAAGGATGCTCCAAGAGCTCAGTCTTACTTTGATCAAGCTGTTCAAGCTGCCCCCGATGATAGGTAATTCGCCGGAGATATTGTATCTAAATGTGTCGATAACATGTTGGTACGTTTTGTGGATCAATTGTTCTGACTGTGTTTTGTGGATTTGATGTTGCAGTTATGTTCTAGCATCATATGCCAATTTCTCTGGGACTCCGAGGAGGAAGACGAAGAGGAGGAGGAGGAGGAGGAGGAGGTGAATCTGAAAGAAGGGGGGAATAACAGAGCGTCGCCAACCAATTTGTTTCCTGGAATTCCTCCTTCACCACCTCCATTAGCTGCTGCTGCATAGTTATATATAGAGAGATATATGTATCTATATGTTCAGAGGCTGACCTTTCTGTTTATATTTTTAAACTTTTGAAACCTTTTTTTAGTGATCCTTTGGCTGCAGCTGGGGGTGAGAAATTGGGTTGTGTTAACTGACGGCTCTGTTTTTGTTTTCAAGATCTTTTTCTAGTCATATCTAATGTAACAAAAATAAGTGACGAAATGGAGTTTTTTGAAGGCATAACTCTCTCTCTCTCTCTCTCTCTCTGCAACACTACAACATTCCTTAATCTGGATTTTCGATTTGATTCGGAACCCTCTTAAGCTTGAAGGAGACGCTCGAATCGAATTCATGCACGAACGGTGGAAAGATTAGATATTGAGTGCTGAGAATACTGTCTAATTTGTTAATAATAACACAAATCAAGTTCTTAATCCAACCCTAAAAATGGAAAATGCCTACTGTCCTTCCGTCATTTTTGAAGGATATAAAATCCAGAGTTATGGCCATGTCTCCCTGCCCCCAAACGGAACAAAAGGGTTTCCTCTCGAACAAGAGCCATGTCTGGACCTCTATCTCCTAAACCCTTATACGGAGGAGTTGCAGGCTGCTGAGGCAATCCACCAGGCGCCCATGCTGGTGGAGCTTCTTCCTTCTAAGCACAATAGATTTAGAATTTGAGGAAGTCGATGAAGTCCTGGAGTAGGATCCACAAGAACACCATGGAGTGGAGAAAGATGGAAGGCCTGTGTATATTGAGAGACTAGGGAAAGTAGATCCCACAAAGCTGATGCAAGTTACACCCGTGGACAGATGCATAAAATACCATGTCCAGGAATTCGAAAGAACATTTGATGATGGAGGACAAAAATTAGATTATTTCATATGCACTAAAATTAAAAGAAGGAAGTGGCAAGTAATCGAGAAAAGTGATTGGAGAACTAGCGTGTTAATGGATTATTTGCTGCTGCCATATTCCGAAAGTTGATGCTTTGGATTTTTTGTTTCGTTCGGATTGACTGCAACTTTGGTTTGGTATCTCGGTGACGAACCAAAGTTGTAATCCTTGTACGCTTGTGCTGCCAAACCAAAGTTGCGTCAATCCGGACGATACTTGTGAGTTGCCGGAGTTTTTAGGAGGGACCTGTACTTGTGCTGATCAGGGAGGCTGTATGGCTTCGGATAAGGGACTGTGGAAGGACCTGGAGATATTGAAGACGGTTAAAAGGGTGATGAGGAAACTTGGAACTTAAGTCCGAAGAGAAGGGATGTAATAACGCTCCAATGGATCATATAAAGCACAACCACCCTCATCCGACCATATCCATTATCATGGCTAAGTCTAACGCAGCAGATGGTTTTGCTGAGCATGATGCCTGCAAAACTTCAGCTCCTGGGTTTTGAGTGTGCTATGACATTGGTTATGTACGGGGATTGGTAACATGCCAAGACGCTCACTGATTTCACCTTCTACTCCAGTGCCGTCTACTGATGACGCAGCGCGCAAAAGCCAGGCGCCTTTACAGCCTGCGTTAGCCTTTTAGCAGATCTTGTCAAGAAGTAGAAGAAGCAGAAGGGATGAAACAGTATAAATTTTCCTGTTTTCCCGTTTACCACATGTATGTAACACTACAAATTTAACTTCATTGATAGAACTAAATAAATTTGTCGTAAAATTTCTTGTATTTTACGTAACAGATATAGTTTTGATCGAGTTGAATTATCAAAATTTTGAGTTAGTTGAATTCATTTGTGTGAAGTAAATAAATCTTGGAAGGTGGCAGAGGCAAGTTTTCGATTCATTTGAGCAGAACTACTGAACTGCACACCAGGGCTAAGTCAAAGGACTACGAAAACACTTGATACAAAGTCACGACTTACATATGCATTGACAGGGTTCTTAGCATTTCTAACAATGGAACCTCATAAAATCCAGAACCACCCGAGAACTGAACCGCTAACCAAGCCAACTCCAAGGAACACCACCATTACAATTGCAGACAGCTCTGCTTCTGAAACCGGCACAGTTTTCGGAACTATCATCATGAGAACACTTGTCAGATAACCATTTGTCAGTCCAAGCATAAATGTGAGAGCCACCATTGGAGTTTCAGCTTTCAGCCATGGAGGTCCATGGAGGCAAGCAGTGAAGATTGGATAGAATAGGAGCCTTGTAATGCAAGCCAATGTTGCCCTTTTAGTACTTTTTAGAAGATAAACTGCAGTCAACGATTTTCCCACTAAATCTGCAACATTGTACACTGTGATCAGCAAAATAGGATACCAATCTTGAAGAAGCTTGGATTCGAGACTTTCGGCGATAAATCCAGGGAAAATCGACAGAGTCACTGTATACGTTACGAAAATCCCAAAAGCTGGCATGGGGACTTTACGTGCTACGTCCCAAAATTTTGGTCTTGCGCAAAAGGGTTCGTCTTGAGCAAGCCTGCAGTGTTCCTGTACGACTGTCAGCCTGTATAACAAGTTGCAGGCAAGGATGCAGCACAGGAGGAATATGGTGCTGACGATGAAGTACGAATTCGCGCTTGTTTGTAGTCCTTTCGGGGTTTGTGGAAGCATTGCTTTGGTTGAAATCCTCAGCAGAGAAATTATCACACCTGCCAAATGTACAATTAGAAGTGAGGTTTTCTCAAGGCATCCTGTTTTTATACGTTATGCATTTAAGAAAGACACGATGTTCTGCACGGATCAGAACAATGTTGGATTGGAAAAGTAAAGCATGAAGGTGTAACTTTGTGTACATAGCTTATAGCTAGTTACCTGAAGAAGCAGTTCCTGCAAAAACAGCTTGCATGTATTTTTTCGGAAGCTTGCCGGCGGATCCCATCAAGCTTCCTCCTACCAAGCCATCGGCTATGCCACAAACTACAACTGATGCAACTGTCACACCATAATCCGCATTAGCTCTCCCACTACTCAGCGCAGAACTGCGCGAAAGCCAGCCCGTAACTGGGGCTACCATTAACGATAGAATAAACAGAGAAAATCCCAAGTTGAGTCTCAGCCGAGGACTCATCTTCTCCCACCAGTTACTCCAGCTCATCATCACGAGCAATACGAGCAACGAAGAGCTCATATAGGCCACAGAGAAGACCTTCTCAATATGCTTGGTCGGATAGAGACGTCCAAAGTAATCAACGGCGGTTATGAATGCATTCCAAGGTAGCAAACTGCCTGCTCCCAGCAAGAAATGAATAAGGTAAGCAATCTTGTACGCATCTCTTGGCTCAGCTTTATATTCAACACTAACCTTCACTCCACCTTCCATTTTCTGAGCTCTGAATCGCCTATTGGCGTAGGTCGGACTTATTAAGGCACCATTTCAAAGCGCGATTGAACATCGCGATTTGACAAGATTGGAATCTCCAAAGCTTGATAGGTCCTAGCTGTGGCTAAACCGAACCAGCTAGAATGCTTTGAGAGAGATAAACACATGGTCGTGTTCTCATTTTTTGCCTGTTGGGCCATCTGGCAGCTCCAGCTACGTGCTTTCCTTGACTCATGGATTTGATTGATGGATCTGGAAGCAGCATCAATGTGGCTATCTCATTCATGTAGTAAAAAAATTAATGCTGAGTAGGGACAGCAATGGATGGGTGGTAATATTTGGGTGATTAAAAACAAAGACATTGAAGCTTTCCCAGAAATTATGTTCCTCCCCCTTGATATTTTCTGATTTTTACAACTACCAGCAACAACCAAACCTTAATTTACTAGGTGAGGTCGGCTGTATGAATTTTAGAGCGTCATTACACTCAGTTTTGTGCCAAGTCTTCTGTTAGCTCCAAGTGAGAATATAATCAAAAGATATAATCAGTGTGGGAATATAATCACAAAATATAATCATGGGTTTAGTTATACTGTTTAGGGTTCAAAAAAGCCCTCATTGACCATGAAACACTGATAATTATCACCTATTTGAGTCTTGTCATTGCTTGATAAAGTAGCCTAAAAAGGAAATTCATTGAAGGAGAACCAAAACCTGTTTCTATCAAGAGATTTAAGCGTGATCAATTGATCGATCGATGTTAAATGTAAAGCGGAAGAGGGGCCTGTATGCGTGTCCTCGGTGTCACATTGTTGATTTGGATTAGCCACCAACGAACTTGATTCTGTTCTTCTATACTGTCAGGGATTCATTTTCATTGGTGAAGCAAAATCGATCATCTTTTGGGTTCCACTACCAGTTGCTGTGATTCTAGATGCTTCTGTACAGAAAGTGGCAGAGTCAGAACATAAGTACTACTCAAAAATTACCATTCATCCCACACTTACATATGCACTCGTACGATTTGACGCAGCAAAGGCAACTAGTTCAGCTTCTCAGAAGAACTGTGGCAAACAAAGTTTGTATTGTATTATACCAAGCTGCTAAATAGTTTGCACAAACTCAGCCCAACTAGGCTTGTCTGAGACTGTTTGTGGAAGGGCTAGCTAGGACTGGTTTCTGAAAGCCTAAAACGCTCATGACTATGTCTGGAAGAAAAATTTTAAAATACTTCAGAAAACGATTACACTTTTAATAGCAATTTTGACATGTTTCAAAACAAAACTAGTTCTAGTAAAAAAGCTTATTAGCATAAGTGTTTCTTATGGAATTAATAACAAACGAGCCCTCATTGAATATCCCATCATGAGTCTTTCCACTAACGATAAAATTCGGTAAACATGAGTGTCTAGTTCTAAATGGGTACCTAATGACCATCCTTTTCAGGCCATCTCCAATAGAGAGGGATAAAAGTTCAAAAGTCGAAAATGATCTGATTTGCTCAAAAAATCCATCTTCAATAAATGGCTAGACTGTAATTCTATAAAGTCCACTATGACATTATTTGGCCAAAGGGGCATTAGGCTGGCCAAGTGTAGCCCCTTCTTAGCCCTTTTTTTGAGGGTCAGCTTCTCTGTTGTAATAATTGATTCAAATTCAACACTTAGATTTGAAAACATACAACAGTAGTTTAATTAAATTAACGACTAAATTTAAAGTATAAGTTTAAAACTAATAAATTATTGAAAAACTATGTTTAGTCTATTCGGTTAAATATAGTATATAAATATAACTTGATACTGATTATTTAAAAATAATTCTTTGCAAGACTATAATTATAGATAAAGCTATTTTCAATCCTTTTAATTGAAGAAGACGTAAAGTCTTGAATTACGGCTCCAATTAGAATAAAGGTGTACTATACACAGGAACCATATGCAACATTTGATGCCAGATAATAAAAAAGATGCTCTGCTAAAAGTACAACCATGATTAGGGTTTTGTGTTGTGTTTGACAATTATGCACTTCACTTTGCTTGGTAATGCACACACACACTTGACCAGATGTTGACTTTGAGTTCAAGATTTTTTTCTCTATTTCCAGAAAGTGAGAGGGAGTTGTGGTGTACCATTAAAGAGTAAAAGGCCACTGAGATTTGAGTTTTTGGCATCAGATTTGTAGGAGATAAATGAGATTCGTCTTTTGGTCGCCACAATCAACCTAATGTTAGACATATCGTTGAGATGAATTAGCAATTAAATTAAGTTTCGCTGAGGATTACTTGAATTGGAGAATAACTTCTATTTTTATAGCCCGAGCATGTCATTACTAAACGGAAGCGAAGTATATTCATTGTGTCGCCTCACTATGTCGTCTTGTATTAATAATATACTACTAAACGGAGAATGACTTAAATATGATGGTGTCCTGTTATCACAAGTATCCCAAGCTATCATTCTTTTGAATTGTGATATGGATAGACATGAATACATGACTTGTAATGTGAATAGACATGAACACATATACAAGCTGGACTGTTATACTCAAGCGAGTAACAATATTGTGAGTAACTGAAGGAGTGTGATATCCACATACCCTTTTTTACTTCTCACACACCCTTTTAATTTTCGGTCATTGGATCAGATGAATTAAAGAAGATCAAAGGTCAGAAATTAACAAACGGTGTGTGAGAAGTAAAAAAATGTGTATGAATACACACTCGTAACTGAAACCGAGGTTGAATTGAACCCCCAAGTAACTGGATTGACTTGGTTTGATTAAGAATAGTTGATCTAGTTCTCATTCCTTCTCTAATCTTCAAATAAGAAAACATGTGATATTAGATCTTCACATAAAAAAAAAATCACAATCTCGATAAAATCCCAACCCCCCTAACATAAAAAAAAAAAAGAAAAAAAAGAAACGAAGTTTCCAAGTTTCCGCTTCTCATCAGAAAGTCCACGTCGGATCCACCACAAAGTCAGTGGAAAGCACACAGAGCAAGCGAGAGAGTGAGAGAGAGACGAATGGAGACCGGCGGCGAAACGGCGCGTTCCTCAGGGCTCTACGGAGAGAAAGGGGCAGGAGGGAAGCTGAGGAAGCCGCCGTCTCGAAAGCCGAGTACGACGCCATATTCCCGTCCGCCTTCGAACGAAGCCGCGCGGGGACAGCGGCGGTGGCTGTCGGGTATTGTCGATCCGGCGTATCGGCTGATATCTGGAGGCGCCACACGGCTCTTCCCCACCTTCTTCTCCAAATCGAATTCCGTCAATGCCCTTCCCTCGCCCAATGACCAAAGTCACGGTCAGCCCCAATTTTCTCTCCGTTAGGGTTTTGAACTTTGTTCTTCCTAATGTTTTTTTATTTTTATTTTTAAATTATTTGTATTTGTGAGTTTATGGGTATTTTATTAAATTAAGTTTATTACTTTATACTTGGACTGATTAAATTGGGTTTGTGTGCTTTGCTTAATTGATTGGATTGCTGCTTAATTCGATTATTGTTGGTTTCGGCGAAGTTAGTTGGATTGAGTAGTTACTTTGAGTTGTTTTTCAATACCCTTTTACTGATTACCGTGAACATTGTGGATTGTTCTTTGGATTTTAACTCAATGAGTTCTCTGGAGCAGATGAGCAGCACACGGAGACGGAACAAAATGCTATTGGCGATCGTGAGGACAATGCCGATGTAAATGTGAGGCTTCAGTCATTTGAGATCAATTCAAAGTACCACATGGGGTTGTATTTTGTGGATATGTATCAACATCAGTTCCTGCTGTTTCTCAAGTCACATTGCGCTTTAGTTTCGGTCATTAGTATAGCTGTTGTAATTTTTTTCGGTTGTACATACGGACAGTGTTTTTGCTCTTCAAACCGTAAACTTATGTTCTAGCATGTTGTTCCATTCATGTTAATATACCTGATTCTTTCGTGCAAAATTTTATTTATGTGATTCATGTTTGGATGACATTAAGAATTATTCAGAATTCAGAGTCGTTAAATTTTCCTCTTTTCTGTTATGTGGTGATAGGTATAAGAAGCATATTCTCATTGTTTTTTCTTCCTGTAGTGTATATCAAGAAGCATTTAGTTAGATTATCTTCTGATTGCTGTAGAGATACCCAGTTTTTTGTGTGGTCTTCTCTACAACTACAGATAGGGATAGCTATGTCTTTAATTGTATATGATTTGCCCCCAGTAAAATCATTTCTCATATTCAATTCTTCTTTGGCGTTTATCTTTGCAGAATGGGATCTCCAGAACAACTGAAATAGTAGGCCCTTGCAAAAAAGCAGATAGATTAATAAGTGGTTCGGATTTTGAAGGGAATAAGAAGAGTGACCAGTCTGATGATATTGGACTTTCTGAAATTGAGCAGTTATTGAAGGGGAAAAAGTTTTCTAGGCAAGTTATGCATGTGATGTATTTATTCCATTTATGATTATAGTTATGCATAAGACGTCAATTTTCTAATAGTTTGCCAGTAAGATGCTAATGAGTCATAATGGTGGAGCTTGTTTAGATGAGTGTTTCTTGTTAACATGATTAAAGTAATTTGTTATAAAAAAAAAAATGTAAATAAAGTAGTTCTTTCCTACATAGATTGCGTTAATGAAGATTTAAGAAACCTGTTTCTGATATCAAAACAGTTTCCACCATTATATAGTGACATAGAAATTCAAGTTTCTCTTCCATTAAAAATCGGGTTGCAATTTCATTCACTGCGGGCACTCATGCATGCAGTCATGGTCTTGAGATGCATTGTCTTTCCAGTCTTTCTTTCCCTCTCGAAGCTCACTCTATTTTTCTCCAGGGATGAAATCAATCACTTGATGGAAATTATACAGTCGAGGGCTGTTGAACCTCCTACTGTGGATCACAAAAAGAAAAATCAAAGCTTTAGTGCTGCTGAAAAAGCCAAGTGGCCTTTAATTACAAATGATATTCCAAAGTCATCTGAAGAAAAGCAGGAAGACTTGAATAAAGCTATTTGGCCGACCTCAACCCCTCTACCGCAGTCAGCTGTGAGTGTCACTGTCAACTTGCTTTGTTTATTCAATGTCATCAGGCAGAATCAATTTTCGTTACATATTTAAGTTTATGTGAAATTGTTAATTTGCGCATTTGTCCTCCACAAGAAATGTTTCTTCATACATACTCAGTCCGCT